CGAGCCCGCACTGTCCTCTTTTGCCGGCCGCCTGCGATCCTAGCAGGGCCACTCTATCACCCAGACTGTCTTCAGCATGCTGTGTCCTTCTCGGCAGAGGGCGGACGCATTGCAGTCTCAGCGCACTTTGCTTTTCTGCTCTCCTTCCTCATCCCCCCTCTCCTTTGCGGCTGCCTCTTTTGTGCTGGACTGGGGTTCGTCGGGTACGCAGCCTAATATGTGCCAGTTGGTGTGTTCCCCTCTCCTCCTCGTCCTCTGCCTTTTCTTCCTCCTCCCCCGTCCGCCCCCCTTCTCTGCACGAGTTTGCGGCCAAAGTATCGGCCACGTTCGCAGGACCACGCTGCCATGTATGCGAATGTTTCGCGAGCTACCCGAGCCCGGGGCTATCGCAGGTTTTTGTTATCATTGCCTTGCGGTCGGCTTCATGCGGGATGTGCGATCGGAAAAAAAAAACATTCGTGGGCTCCTGGGAGGCCCAGCGGAGGTACGTCATACGCGGACCACCACTATAGCTTGCCGTGCCCTGGGGGGCTTCGATCTGCGAAGCCGTCGGCACATTCGTGGGCTCCTGGGAGGCCCAGCGGAGGTACGTCATACGCAGATCACCACTATAGCTCGAGGTGCCCTGGGGGGCTGCGATCTGCGAAGCCGTCGGCGCATTCGTGGGCTCCTGGGAGGCCCAGCGGAGGTACGTCATACGCAGATCACCACTATAGCTCGCGGTGCCCTGGGGGGCTGCGTACGTCATACGCGATAGCCGTCGGCGACATCCGTGGGCTCCTGGGAGGCCCAGCGGAGGTACGTCATACGCAGATCACCACGATAGCTCGCCGTGCCCTGGGGGGCTGCGATCTGCGAAGCCGTCGGCACATTCGTGGGCTCCTGGGAGGCCCAGCGGAGGTACGTCATACGCAGATCACCACTATAGCTCGCGGTGCCCTGGGGGGGCTGCGATCTGCGAAGCCGTCGGCACATTCGTGGGCTCCTGGGAGGCCCAGCAGAGGTACGTCATACGCAGATCACCACTATAGCTCGCCGTGCCCTGGGGGGCTGCGATCTGCGAAGCCGTCGGCACATTCGTGGGCTCCTGGGAGGCCCAGCGGAGGTACGCCATACGCAGATCACCACTATAGCTCGCCGTGCCCTGGGGGGCTGCGATCTGCGAAGCCGTCGGCACTCACGTGGGCCCCTGGGAGGCCCAGCGGAGGTACGTCATGCGCGGACCACCACTATAGCTCGCGGTGCCCTGGGGGGGCTGCGATCTGCGAAGCCGTCGGCACTTTCGTGGGCTCCTGGGAGGCCCAGCGGAGGTACGTCATACGCAGATCACCACTATAGCTCGCCGTGCCCTGTGGGGCTGCGATCGGCGAAGCCGTCGGCACATTCGTGGGCTCCTCCTGGGAGGCCCAGCGGAGGTACGACACACGCAGATCACCACTATAGCTCGCGGTGCCCTGGGGGGTTGCGATCTGCGAAGCCGTCGGCACTTTCGTGGGCTCTTGGGAGGCCCAGCGGAGGTACGTCATACGCAGATCACCACCATAGCTCGCGGTACCCTGGGGGGCTGCGATCTGCGAAACCGTCGGCACATTCGTGGGCTCCTGGGAGGCCCAGCGGAGGCACGTCATACGCAGATCACCACTATAGCTCGCCGTGTCCTGGGGGGCTGCGATCTGCGAAGCCGTCGGCACATTCGTGGGCTCCTGGGAGGCCCAGCGGAGGTACGTCATACGCAGATCACCACTATAGCTCGCCGTGCCCTGGGGGGCTGCGATCTGCGAAACCGTCGGCACTTTCGTGGGCTCCTGGGAGGGCCAGCGGAGGTACGTCATTTTTGATTCGCGGCCCGCAAGGGGAAGTCCAGAGGGCGGTGTGGAGGTACGTCATACGCAGATCACCACTATAGCTCGCGGTGCCCTGGGGGGCTGCGATCTGCGAAACCGTAGGCACTTTCGTGGGGTTCTTGGGAGGCCCAGCGGAGGTACGTCATACGCGGACCACCACTATAGCTCGCGGTGCCCTGGGTGGCTGCGATCTGCGAAACCGTCGGCACATTCGTGGGGTCCTGGGAGGCCCATACGCAGATCACCACTATAGCTCGCCGTGCCCTGGTGGGCTGCGATCAGCGAAACCGTCGGCGCATTCGTGGGCTCCTGGGGGGCCCAGCGGAGGTACGTCATACGCAGATCACCACTATAGCTCGCGGTGCCCTGGGGGGCTGCGATCTGCGAAGCCGTCGGCACTTTCGTGGGGTCCTGGGAAGCCCAGCGGAGGTACGTCATACGCAGATCACCACTATAGCTCGAGGTGCCCTGGGGGGCTGCGATCTGCGAAGCGTCGGCCACATTCGTGAGCTCCTGGGAGGCCCAGCGGAGGTACGCCATACGCAGATCACCACTATAGCTCGCGGTGCCCTGAGGTGCTGCGATCTGCGAGATTGTCGACACACTCGTGGGCTCCTGGGAGGCCCAGCGGAGGTACGTCATGCGCGGACCACCACTATCGCTCGCGGTGCCCTGGGGGGTTGCGATCTGCGAAACCGTTGGCATTTTCGTGGGCTCCTGGGAGGCCCAGCGGAGGTACGTCATACGCAGATCACCACTATAGCTCGCGGTGCCCTGGGGGGCTGCGATCTGCGAAGCCGTCGGCACTTTCGTGGCTCCTGGGAGGCCCAGCGGAGGTACGTCATACGGATCACCACTATAGCTCGCGGTGCCCTGGGGGGCTGCGATCTGCTCGGCACTTCGTGGGCTCCTGGGAGGCCCAGCGGAGGTACGTCATACGCAGATCACCACTATCGCTCGCGGTGCCCTGGGGGGCTGCGATCTGCGAAACCGTCGGCACTTTCGTGGGCTCCTGGGAGGCCCAGCGGAGGCACGTCATACGCAGATCACCACTATAGCTCGCGGTGCCCTGGGGGGCTGCGATCTGCGAAGCCGTCGGCACTTTCGTGGGCTCCTGGGAGGCCCAGCGGAGGTACGTCATACGCAGATCACCACTATGGCTCGCGGTGCCCTGGGGGGCTGCGATCTGCGAAGCCGTCGGCACTTTCGTGGGGTCCTGGGAGGCCCAGCGGAGGTACGTCATACGCAGATCACCACTATAGCTCGCGGTGCCCTGGGGGCTGCGATCTGCGAAGCCGTCGGCACTTTCGTGGGCTCCTGGGAGGCCCAGCGGAGGTACGTCATACGCAGATCACCACTATGGCTCGCGGTGCCCTGGGGGCTGCGATCTGCCTGTCGGCACTTTCGTGGGTCCTGCGTCATACGCAGATCACCACTATAGCTCGCGGTGCCCTGGGGGGCTGCGATCTGCGTCGGTCGGCACATTCGTGGGTTCCTGGGAGGCCCAGCGGAGGTACGTCATACGCGGGCCACCACTATAGCTCGCGGTGCCCTGGGCGGCTGCGATCTGCGAAACCCTCGGCACATTCGTGGGGTCCTGGGAGGCCCAGCGGAGGTACGTCATACGCAGATCACCACTATAGCTCGCGGTGCCCTGGGGGGCTGCGATCTGCGAAACCGTCGGCGCATTCGTGGGGTCCTGGGAGGCCCAGCGGAGGTACGTCATACGCAGATCACCACTATGGCTCGCGGTGCCCTGGGGGGCGATCTGCGAAACCGTCGGCACATTCGTGGGCCCCTGGGAGGCCCAGCGGAGGTACGTCATACGCGGACCACCACTATTGCTCGCGGTGCCCTGGGTAGCTGCGATCTGCGAAACAGTAGGCACATTCGTGGGCTCCTGGGAGGCCCAGCGGAGGCGTCATACGCAGATCACCACTATAGCTCGCGGTGCCCTGGGGGGCTGCGATCTGCGAAACCGTCGGCACATTCGTGGGCTCCTGGGAGGCCCAGCGGAGGTACGTCATACGCAGATCACCACTATAGCTCGCGGTGCCCTGGGGGGCGATCTGCGAAACCGTCGGCACATTCGTGGGCCCCTGGGAGGCCCAGCGGAGGTACGTCATACGCGGACCACCACTATTGCTCGCGGTGCCCTGGGTGGCTGCGATCTGCGAAGCCGTCGGCACATTCGTGGGCTCCTGGGAGGCCCAGCGGAGGCACGTCATACGCAGATCACCACTATAGCTCGCGGTGCCCTGGGGGGCTGCGATCTGCGAAACCCTCGGCACATTCGTGGGCTCCTGGGAGGCCCAGCGGAGGTACGTCATACGCAGATCACCACTATAGCTCGCGGTGCCCTGGGGGGCTGCGATCTGCGAAGCCGTCGGCACTTTCGTGGGGTCCTGGGAGGCCCAGCGGAGGTACGTCATACGCAGATCACCACTATGGCTCGCGGTGCCCTGGGGGGCTGCGATCTGCGAAACCGCCGGCACGTTCGTGGGGTCCTGGGAGGCCCAGCGGAGGCACGTCATGCGCGGACCCCCACTAAAGCTCGCGGTGCCCTGGGGGGCTGCGATCTGCGAAACCGTCGGCACATTCGTGGGCTCCTGGGAGGCCCAGCGGAGGCACGTCATACGCAGATCACCACTATAGCTCGCTGTGCCCTGGGGGGCTGCGATCTGCGAGATTGTCGGCACTTTCGTTGGCTCCTGGGGAGCCCAGCGGAGGTACGTCATACGCAGACCACGACAAACGCCCCTTGTGTGTCTGTTTTCTATGTTCGCCGCTGCGCTTCTTGCTGCGCTTTTCTGAAGTCACTGCTGGGTGCTCTTCTTGCGCACTGCGAGTCCTTCTGAATGCCAGTCAGCATTGAGTGGTCCTGCGTATACTCGCCACGTGTATAGAAAGGGTTGGGTACGTCGCAGGGTAATCTTCCGTTTTTGATCCTCCAACAAAGGCGGCGGTTGCGAGCTCTGAGCGTTCGCGAGCGGGTCGGCCGTCGTCATCGTCGTTCGCGAGCGGGTCATTGTTCTGTGGGCTATCCCTCTGGCTTTTGCTCCCTCGGGTCGCGCCCTTCCCCCTCGGATTCGTCTTGAACCCTTTGGCCCCTTTGTTCGCCCACTCCCTCCTCGTGGCTCTGGCCATTTTGGCCCCAAGGCACGCTGGCTGAAGCTGGCGTAGTCCCGAGGAAACTCAAAACGCAGAGGCCAGCGTTGCCTGCGAAATCCGCTAAACACTTGCACAAGGCTGCCCACCTTCCCAGTCATGGCGCGGCTGAAGATGCGGCTGCCGCTCCTCCTCTGCACTCCCTCGCTGCCTCTCGGCACTCGCCTGACGCTGTCCGACGACACCGTTGCGAGCATTACTGCAAACGCCACGGCTGCTCTCGACGGTGGTGAGCGGCCGCACGCTCTGTGCCGCATCGGCAAGGAGGGGGTCGGCTTCGAGGTGTCAGCGGTGGCCAAGCTTCGCCGAGGGAAGAAGCATTGTGAAGATGACCAAGACGTCGCGGTATCTTGTCGACGCCTATCTTAGTCACGGGCCATGCCAGCCGTTGCTGATTCGTTGGGATGATCCACGAATTGACGATGCCCACGACGGACGATGACCAAGATCGACACCGACGTTTCCGCGTTCAGTTTTGGTCATGGTCCTCGGTTTCGTTCCCTCCACTTCGGGCGCACCAGAAGCGGTGCGCGCCCACCTGCAGCAGGATCAACGGCTTCGACCTCCGCGAGAAGCTCATGCCCAGCTTCTTCTCAACGGCAGTACGCGATAGCTTCTGCCTGTGCTACCTCAAGGGAAGTCCGACCGCCCTGTTTAGATACCCGAGGGGAGCGAGCAAGTGCGGCAAGAAGGAGTGCTGGGCGAGGTACGAGGGCACGTTCAACAGGAGGACGGGTATCAAGGACATCTTCAGCCCCGGCTCGTTGAGCTTCAGCTGCGAGGTGTGCGAGATCAGCCAGGACTGCGAGCCATCTGTCGAGATTCCTGGCTTTCCGCCCGACGCGTCCGACGGAGACGGCGTCGAGTTTGCCCCGCGGCCGTTGCAGGATGAGACCGAGGACGACGTTGCAGAGCCCGAAATCATCGAAGTGCCCGTCGTCGACGAGAGTTTTCCTCCCCCCAGCCTGGGAGGGGCGACGGAACCGTGTCCGTCATGGCAGGGGGCAGGGGGGGAGAGGGGCCAGATCGTGCTCCCCCTGCAGTGCAGGGTGTCCCCTGGGACTGGAGGCTTCGAGTGGCAGGATCAGCTGAAGGAGGGCGGCTGCCGCGGCAACCTTCTGGCACTGGCGTTCTCAGACGACCTCGGAGACCCGGGGTCCTCTGTCATACAGGCTGGAGGAAGTCGAGAAACCCAAGCGAAGGGAGCGCACATTGGACTGCGAGTCCCTCAGACCCACGACCTTTCTGGCATTGAGGGTCGGCCTCTGCCTGCAGGACTTGCCATCAAGGTGGACGAGAATAATCCGCAGTTCGTCTCCGTGTGGCACAAATGGAGGCGAAGTGTAAGAGTCGAGGTTATCACAAATGGACGTCGGGTGATCCTGCCCAAGGTACACTTCCTCACCATCCACAGATCATTTCGTGGCGGGGACTCGATGCACGTAACTCTGGGGTACACCAGGCCCCCCTCCCTGATCAACATAGTTGGAAGCACGCTTAGAAGTCTGGGACTCGTGCCTGGAACGTGGCTGCAAGAGATGATCTACCACCCGCGCTATTACATCGACGTAGTCGCATTTCCAGAGAGCGCCGCAACCCCGTGCAGGGACGAGTCGGTCGACGACGCTGACGCCGAGGACCCCGACAGCTCCGACGACGGCCGCGGCGCTCGGTGGTGGGAGTGGAGCTCCGATGATGCGTATAAGGGCACTGGGATTTTTGAGGACATGAAGAGTATGCTGTCGGATTTGGGCGATTGGCTTTTCAACACTGGGGGAAGCGACGTGGAGTTCGTCAGCTGGTAACCATTGCCGAGGCTCTCCGTGCCGACACGGTTCGCACGCTTCCAGGAAAGGCCCACCCCTGCTGTGCCCCGTGCAGCCTACAGTGCGCGGCTGATCCTCATCCTCCTTGTCCTGCCCGCCCTCCCCGGACTCGTGGCGACTCGAGAGAAGATGCGCTGGAGGCGTCTCGCCATCTTCGGCGTTTGGAGGCAGTCGCTCGGGCCACGGCACAGTCAACAAAAATTGGCCAGGGCAAGAGCGCGGCCCCAGAGGAGGAGTTGAGAAGTCCACGGGCAGACCGTTCCGTCGGAGGTATGGGACCCCGTCCTCATGCAGGGGTTTACTTTGCCATTGCTGTGGCCAGCGCATTATAAACAGAAAGCGTGCGAAGGGAGGCGACAGGAGAGGAATGGGGCGGCGCGTCAGTAGAGACAGCTAGAATCCCAATATCTGCATGTGGGGAGCAAGAACTCCAATCCTGAGAGCGCAACATCCAGGACATGTGGGAAGTATGGCAGACATCCGCGACGACGGTCATGCATCATAACAGTACCTGGCTATGCATGACACGCGATGACTGTCGCGTCCAGTCACAATCACGTGCTACGGGAGCCACATCGTACGACAATCATGTGTTATCACATGCTCGCACGAAGACGACCATCTAATGACAACAGTGTCGAACGTCAATCAGTTGCTATGACTGTTATGCGCGATGATTTCCGCATGATGCGACACTCGCATGCTACAACGAAGTATCACAGCCATGCAATATGCCAAACATGTGGCCCGACTATCATGGGGTGTGTCATGGAAGGGTGTAAACGAGGCGGTCGGCGCGTCAACAAGGAAAGAAGTATCCGAATGGTGTGGCGCCGAAGAAGACAAGCATTACGCAACTTACACTGAAGCGTGGTGTCACTGAAGTAATGTTCACACTTCGTCAGACGATGATACCGACACCAGTATTGGATGTACTTATCATCGTGTGTATATGTGCGCGCAGATGTTTGACATGTTCGTAACATGCCTGCATGTAGTTGTGCACATGTGACCGGAAAAGGCGGTTACACTCTCAACGGAGAACAATGATGCAGACGCAAGTTACGATCGTGATGGGAAGGATCGCGCTGCGTTTGTAAGTGCATGTTTGTGTGAGTGCCTCGTTGTGCGCGTGTTGACCATTGTAGGTGTCCCAAAAGGGTGACGATTCTTATGCGCAGAGGCTCTAGTGAGTACCCACCGCTGCATGCAACCCGATACCGCGTATGAGGTAAAGTGTTTGCGTGTGTGTGTGTGTGTATGTGAGTGTGCGTGTCTGTGTGCATGCGTGGGCGTGTGGGGGTGTACTTTTACATGTGTGTTAGTGTTTGTATGTGTTCGTCCTTGTGTGCGCGGTTAGTGTGCGTGTGTGCATGTGTGTGCTACTCCGCCTCGTCGCCGCGCGTGAGGCCGCTACCGTTCAAACGTGTGTGTGTGTGTGTATTTGCAAACGTGGGGGATCTGTGTGTCTTCTTTGTTTGTCTCGTCCTAGCCCTTCTCCGTGTGTCACTTGCGCCTCCTCTCAGTCTCTGCTCTCCTCGGAACATCCCCTATTTCTGCCCCGCTGCCTCTAGCCACTACATCTTATCATTGTGATTATTATCTCGTCGTCTTGATGCCCCTATCCGATTCCGCCCCGTCCTCCACCGTTACCCTCTTCTTCCCCTCTCCAACTATTTGCTCTTCTCTATGTCTCTCTTGCTCCGCGCCATGGGCGCCATTTACGGTGCTAGGCTCTAACGTGCCTCATGAGCTTACCATCAGGTTTGCCGTAGCCATCTGCATAAATCTGTGTTCCCGCCAGCATGTTTGCTTCTCTTGCTGTCACAGATCTGCCGTGTCCAGGTTTGCCCAGCATGATCCCGGTCGAAGGTGAGGCCAGGGTGATTTCTGACGACATTATTGGTCCGAATATTCTCCGAGCCGTCGTCGACCGCTGTCAGGGGCAGCCCATTGTTCTTATTGTGTCTGGCGGCATTCGCTGGAGAGGCACCCAGCCTCCAGCGATTGTCGAGAGATAGTGCAAGGATAACGGGTAGGCTTGAATTTCTCATAATTGGAACCCCGGTGACCAGCAGAACGAGATGTTGTACGAAGCGAACGGCTGTCATTTGTTGGACAAAGTGCGACTACTCGCGCAAACCAACGCAGAACATTTTAAACGCTGTCTCGTGATCTACGAGTGCCACGGCTGCAGTGGCGAGGGCCGCTGGAGACGTTCAGGGGTGACACCCGCGGAAGTAAGAAGTGTATTCATGGAGGCATCTGTCGGCTTTTATTCCGACCCAGCTGACGGACCTGCGATTGTTCTCGGTTCGTACTTCGGTGGTTGTTGGTTTTGGACGTTCGAAGGAGTTGCAGCGTGTGGCCCAGATGAAACCGCGGGTGGCGACGGCAAGGGTGTGGCAATGTGGACATGGCTTTTTCAGGGAGATGCTCACCCCACTGTCAGAGGAAGCAGAACGCCAGTGATGAATTTGACGGAATCGTCCGGCCTGCTCGCGGTCGAAGGTGAGCCCATGGTGATTTTTGACGACACCGCCCGTCTTGATGTTTTCCAAGCCGTCGTGGCGCGACGGTGCTTGGATTCGTGGGCCACAGGCCGGCCTTTTGATGTAGGCCCTTGATGGGGCATGTTGAGGCTTATTGTGGTCGTCTTTGGGTCTTGCGGGTGGCCATTGAGAGCCACGTTGGAGGCCTATTGGGCGCGTCCAGGGGGCTCTTGGGAGCATGTTGGGGTTCTAAGGGGCAGTCTTCGGGGGAAAGGTGCCCAAATCCCCTTCGTGTTCCGTTGTCTGGTGCCGTTGTAAAAGCATGCTGGGCTGTATCAGGGCACTCTTGGGCCGCCTCGGGGGTGCTCTTAGGGGCCGTTTCAAGCGAGAATGTTGGAATCACTCTAGCTTTTTCAGCGAGTCGATGCTTTTGGCCTCTGGGGGGCCCTTTTCGGGGGTTATCTCGGAGCCCTCTCTGGGCGTCTTGGGAGCCTCCTGGGCCATCTTGAGGAAGTGTCGAGTCGGTCTGGGGCCGCTTCAGGGCCGTATCTATGACCCCTGTGCGGCCGTCTGGGTGCCCCATGGCCTCTGCAAAAGGCTGGCCCCCAAAGACACGCAGGGAGGCAAACCTGGCAGTCTGAGGAAACTCCTGCCTCCTGCGACTGTCGACAGATTGTGCCAGGATAACAGGTACGCTTACATTACCGATACCTGAAATCCAGAGACCAGCAGCACGAGACGCTGTAGAGGCTATCTGCGATAATGCTCGCGCGAGGAGCTAACGCAGAAAGCATGTGTTCGCGACGTGACTCCCGAGTGGCCTGGGCACCTTCCCCAGGACCGTCTTTTCGTCATGACCTCTTTGCTGGCGGTCCTGGAGCCCGACGAGTGCCCCCAGAGGCCGAGAATGGGCAAAAAACGCAGCGTTTTTTTCACAACGAGGGACGTCAGGAAATGGTAAGGCTTCGTGTTGCGCACAGGCAGCCCCCCCTCCTGATAATCCCAGCTGGCCTCAAACAGGCAACCCGAGTAGTCCCAGCTAGCCTCAACAGGCCCCCCGAGTAGTCTGTGGCGTTTACCTGTCCCCACTCGCCTTACACTTGTCCTCCGCGTTTTACCGCCGCTCCGCCCATTCTGCTCCGTCCTCGCGGTCCCCAGCGGCCACCCGTGCGGCACGTGCGTGCCTCCCGCTGGAAGAAGCCGCCTCTCCAGACGGGATGCAGGCTGTCATCGAGCACCCGAACTGCGTGCAAGCTGGGGTGCGCACCCCGCCCTCGAGGAGGAGGAGGAGGAACGAGGAACGAGGAGGAGGAGGAATGTCAAGGAAAGAGCACGGGGAGGAGGAGAAGGAGGAGGAGGAGGACGAGGAGGACGAGGAGGAGGAGGAGGATTTCTTTGCTTGCGACGCTGATGAAACACAAAACATGCCAGCAACTGGCGGCGCTGCAGGTAAGCATAATATTCTGGGACGGGGAGATACTCGGCTACAGGCACCAAGTCAGCCAACAAGGCACTCGTTAATATGTAGGCGTGGGCACGACACAGGGGCAATTGTGAAGTGACAAAGCAGTACAGCTAGCAGCCTTGCCAAAGGCAGGTGTCTGTAGCTGCTAGCTTCTTCCGGACTGAAGAGAGGCTCCGCACGCCTCAACGTCTACGGGGGAAGCGGGAGTCCACAACTTGTTCATCTCGCGCGGCATCGACGTCAGTGGGCGGAGGCCGCGGTGGAGGTGGATGAATAAGAGGAGGTTTTGGGCGCACCTACCTATGCAAATGCATCCGACAAATCTCTTCGCGCACTGCTGACAATTGGCTCGCGAATGGCAGGAAACGAAACGACAATCACACGCTGCAAACACATTCATTTCCACGGCAAGCTCATTCCAAATTCCATGTCATGTTTGCGAAAAGGCGGCGGCTGGAGGGCAGCTCTACAACGCGCGCGCGGCACACTTCGACATGCGGATCACGGTCCGAGACGCGACCACGATGTATCATATCGTTGCCGCTATCGCCAGACGGTGCAATACCATTAGCTTGGACCGCTGCCTGGGTCTCCGCACCCGCGAAGATGCGATGTGCGGCGCGGCAGTTGCGGCCGGAGTCGGCAGCAACACGGGGAAGGCCACGATCATAGTTGCAGCACCGGGGACCCCAGGCCGAGAAGCGTAATCACCAGAATGAGCCTGATCCTGCGGTTTCGCAGCAGACGCGGGCGCACTGAACGCGGCCAGCGTGGCAGCATCCAGGGGCGCACCGCCCGCGGAAGCTGGTGGCCCCTTTTCGGGGGGGGGCAAGTCCGAAAGGGTTGGACAGGTGGTACGTGGGACGACGGGGTCAGTGACGCCCGTTACCGAGTCCACGTACTCCGAGACGGCGACGGTGCCGGCTGCCATGCTGCCGGTGCGGGCGCAAGCGAGGTCGTCGGAATCTCTGGCAGCGCCAGCAGCAGCAGGCACAAGAGTTCGGTGCGAGCTGCAGAACGGAAGGCGTCGCTGTGGGAGCTGAGCGCGCCGTCTTGCTTGTGCCGCCGAGACGGCCAGCTGATGGAGTTTGCTGCAAGTCGTCATTGCTGTCCCATCCCTGAATGTGAAAGTTTCACTCGTCAGTTGGCGGGGTCTTTTTGAGCCTGGCTCCTCTCTTACCCTTTTTCCTTGGCCCTTCCAGTTGCCACGCTTCTGCTTGATAAACTTTACCTCCACAGCAGCAGTAATATGTTTTTCGAGACACATGGGCCCCCCCACCCCCAGACTCTGACATAGTTAGGTTTGGAATTTACAGGGACGGTTCAGGAGGCACAAAGCATCGGCAGCTAGGAGGACCACCGTCTTGGGTAGCATGTGCGGTGACGCAGCGTCTACAGTATCGGACAGATGGGCATTTTACTGGCGATCACGAAGATTTCGCCGACCAGGTCAGGAGCGTTTCAGGCGCGTCCGAATTTCAAGCAACGCTCTGGCTTGTGTTATGGTTGCTGCAAGCGCCTCCTGTCGACTCTGCCAGTAACAGCATGCACGGATAACTTGCTTGTCGCGTGTGCGCCAGATGGGGATTGCATTTTCCGTCTTGTGGGGATGTCGCGGAGCTGCCGACTGGGGCCCCGAAGTTCTTTCGTACCACGTTGTCTTAGATGCGCGTGCACGGTCACACTGCAGTTTCGCACGACTTGCCAGCATGGGGGTCGTGCCGTCGGTGGAGCCGACCCTTCCAGAATTGGGCTACGCTGCGTGACGAAGTCGCTATATTGCCGCGGATGCGGTTATCATCCGACCACCGCGACAGTTCGAGGGAGTTCCCACAAGTAGGCCCGCATATGTTGGCCTCAGTGAGTGGTGCTTTGATCGGTCCCAAATGCGCGTGCTCGCCGCCAGGCGATGCCGGGCCAGGCTCGCAAAGTTCGAGCGCCCTTCGAGGGCCTGCCAAGTCCAGCTCAGCCACGAGGGTGCGATTTGCAATCGCCATAGTTTTTTTTTTGTTTTTTTTTTTTTCTCTCTCTCTCTCTCTCTCTCTCTCTCTCTCTCTCTCTCTCTCTCTCTCTCTCTCTTCGGCGCCGCAGGAAGGCAGGTCGGCGCAGCGGGGCTCGCGCGCGACGTCGGCGCCAGGGCGCCGCGGGGCGGGGCCTGCCCGGCCGCGCGCTCGCCCATGCACGTAAATTTGCGCGGCGCTGCTTTCGCGCGGCGGGCGCGCCCGAGATCGGCCAGCAAAAGTGTCTGGGCTCCGTCGCGGTTGCGGCCGCTACTGGGTCCAAAACTCTGCGCGGCGTTGTTCTGTGGATCAGCGCACAACGCGCGCATTGTGCACGGCGTGCGTCGGGTGGGCAACGCGCGCGCGCTGCCCCGCTCGCCCCGGCGCTATCCCGCTGCAGTCCGCGCGCCTGGGCCCCGCGTGGACGCGCGGATCGCCCGCGCACCTCGCGATCGCACGCCGCCGACAAGGACGCGCGATTGGCGGGGTAAAATCGAGGATCAGACCAGGCGGCGCTCGCAGCCTGCACTGTTCACGCGCCAATTCGAAGCCAACGCAGCTCTCGGTTCGATCGCGTCGGGCCACGTCGACAGCGCCACGCCGGGGACAGATGGCGCGGCAGGACATCGGCTTCATCCGTTCTTAAGGTCAACGCAGCAGCGCGCGCCGTCAACGCTCTCGGAATGATTCTCCGACGCTTCAGACACCTGGCGGCCTGCTGGCGCGCGCGACCAGGGGGCCGCCCGCCGCGTTGGCCGCGCCGCTGCCCCGCTGGAGATGCGCAGAGGGGTAGCGAGACAATGGGTATATGTAGAGCTAGATCTTTCCTTCAGACAGCGCGATAATGTCGCGGTCGCGGCCGACGCACGCGCGCCGCGCACTTCGCACTGCTAGCCAGCCCCGCGGCGGCCCGAGGCGACCCGCGACCCCGGCAAACGCGACGACCCCAGTTGCAGACGCGTTTTTGCCAAGCAACTGCGCGACAAATCTCAACCAACCCTCGGCGCGCATCCGGATCGCCGCGCGCTGGACCTCAACGAGCAGTTACTGTCGGCCGTCTCCACAACGCGCCGCCCCGAGGCATCGGACAGCGAACGCGCGCCGCGTCGATGCTGGCTCTCCAGCCAACCCGTGGAGTTGATTGGCGTTCGCGCGAGTCGCTACGACTGCTAAGGGTCAGACTATGACGTATGCCACTAGCTCGCGCGTTCGTTGAGTGGGCCACCGACGGCGCCGCCGCTGGCAAATGGTCCTGCCCCCCCACAGCGCGCCTGCGCGCGCCTCGGCGAGACGGCGCGCCCCCCCCCCCCCCCGCCGCTTGCGAGCTTATGGCAGCGCGGGCGCCGCGACCGTTTATTGTTGCTTCTGCGCTTGCTGCGCCGCTTAGGAGCTCCCGAAGTCGCGCCGCGCGCCCGCCCTTCACTGCTGGCCACATAGCTGGCCGCAGCTTGCCGCGCCGACCGCCCCGGGAAGCGACGCCGCCCCGTGGGCCCCCGGGCGGATTCGACCGCGCGCCGGATCTCTGTCGGCGCCCCGCCAACGCAGGCATGTCAACACTAAGGATGCCATGTGCGATGCTATGGTACAGGGCTCGACCTGGCTTGAACTGGGCTGTCTGGCTGAGTTCATTGCGCGCCGCGTCGTGCGCGACGCAACAGTTCCCGCAGAGCGACGGCGCGTGGCGTCGCGCTGCGATTGCCGAAGTGAACGGGGCTGCGTGGGGCAGGGGGCAGTCCGCAGAAGCACGCGCGCCCTTGCGTCGAATAGGCGCAGGGCCCCGCGTGGACGGCGCGAGAAGGCACGGCCTATCCTGCGCGATCTGGAAGACCCAACTAGTGCGTCGGAAGTGCAGATCGGGCGCAGGTGGCAGCAGCGCGCAGCAGCATTGTAGTTAGCAGCTACCATGCCAGTATCCGGCGCAGGCACCTTCTCAGGGCACTTTGGCAGAGGCCCGCGCGATCGGATGTCCTCCGACCCCGTCGCTCTCGACTCCATCGCCGCGCTGGCCGGCTACCAGGGGTCTTTCCGACAAGCCAGAAATACAACGGCAGGACGCGACGGAATTTCAGGAGCCCTTGTTCGGGCCCACTCTGCTGTCATTGCGGAGTGCTAGATCGTCGCGCGACTCAAGCGCCCATGTGTACTTCTTGGGCCGCTGCGTTTGACGGGCGGCTTCAAATCTGGTCAGGCAGTGCCCGCTCGCGATCGGCCTTCGTGCCATCGCAGTCTGGCAAGGCCGCTGGGCGCTGCCTCAGACCCTAGCAAGAGCAATGTCTCGGCGCGGATGCAGGCGAGACACAGTTTGGAGGCGCGCCTGGACGAGGAACGGCGCACGCCTCACAAGTGGAGAAGTGGACGCAGGCGATGGCCAAGACCAGACGGCTTACCTTCGGAGTTATGTTCATGGAAACTGCGCAAGTTCTCTGTCGTGCCACGCGCGAGGTAGTCGTGCGCTCCCAGCTGGATGACTTACTAATTGCTCCCATCGCACGTGCTGCTGGATCACCCCTGGTGCCATGCATCCACTGGCACGGAGGCTCCAAGACTATGGTGAGTCACTGTCCACTTCTGAGTTTGATCACTTAGCTGCGCAGCAGGTCCCGCAGCGCCATCGGGCCCCTCGATTTGCGCGCGCGGGTTTTTGGCCAGGTAGCGCTCCTGCAGAGTTCAGCCTTTCCAGGGCAACCCGTAACAGTCGCATTCTACGACGACCCGCTGCATGAATGAAGCGCGCTCGACACCAGAGGCAGAAGATGCGCTTGTTCGCCTTGCCGCCCACGCATCACGCGGGTTA